CGGGCTCGGGCCCCGCCTGTGGGGGCGTGAGGCGGTGGCGGAGCGCGGGCTCGCCCCGCAGTGCAGGCGCACACAAGCACTGCAAGGGTGGCCTCCCTGGCCCGCGTATACCTGCAGGACGGGCAGAGACACAGCACCGCGGCATGCCGCAGGCGGCTTGTGCCGGGTCAAGCGCAGTCTGTCAGGGAGGGGTCCCACGAGCTTTGCAGGAGCAATGTCAGGTTATGCGTTATCATGAGGGACGGAAACAGCCAAGTGAAGCGCAACGTCGCGACACAAAAGGCTACGCGAAGGCTCCCGCTATGTAGGCACCAGGGGAAATGGGGCAGTGTAGGCACAGCATGTTGATGAAGAGCAACAGAGACAGTACACTGCTGCACAGGTCCTTCCCTAAAATGCTGTACGAATATATGGCCGAAAAACAGAGACACAAGTCGCAAGGAGCAAGATGCTCTGTTACCCTGCAGCATGTGTAGTTACCTTCTTCAAGGTTATCATGTCTGAGACAAGGATGGTTAAAATAGTATGAAATCATACAGGCTGCAGGCTGATAGATTAAGTCTTCTCTACTAGGCCTAGGTTTTGAGCAACTAACGTCGTTTTTGAAATCCACTTTTATTTAACTCCCCATGAAACTGCATTTGTCTGTGGTCCACATAGGATTTCCATTTGTTGAGTGGAATCGGCTTGCTAGCATGTCTTTGCAGCTTCCTGACCAGCTACTACATCTCTGGGAATGCTCTGCAAGCCTGTCAGCTTAAGGAAAATTTGGCAGCTGGAAGGGAGAAATTGAGATGTAAGCAGCCCCTGATATTTAAACCCCTGGTAAGCTGCGATGGTAATTCTAACTTCAGTGCATTAGGGTCAGATCATTAGCCTCAGAAATCATAGCTACTACTGCTGGCATCTGTTCTCCTGCCTGCCTCCTCCACAGGTTGTCACCGATCAACTGTTAGGACTGAAGCACATTAGAGGTTGTACATTTAAACTTTGTCTTGCGATAGTGAAGGAGCATTATTCTAACCTTTTGCTGAATAACAAATACTGGCCCAGTGCAGGTAGCGGCCCTTCGCGGCACACACTCAGGTAAGAGCAATGGGTTCCCTCTGGCTTAGGTGCATCTTCTGACCTGGGAAGTATGTGTCCTAGCTGGTGAAGTGTCAGAGATTCACCACTTGTAGAGATTTGACACTGGGGAATGAAACTAGATACCAAAGACGTAACTGTGCGGGTAGTGGGAAGCTTGCTTTAATGAAGCCCCTAAGAAGCTGAAGTGGACAATGCTGTCACCCGACACTAAGGAGACAGAGGGCTTCTTTTAGGGATCCATGGCAGAATGATGACAGCACTAAATCATAGTTAGAATTAAAGCTTTATATTCTTAACGGGATATTATTACTCGTATAGCACAGAATTTAGAATGGCACAAGATTTCTACAAGCAGAATCAATATAGTACAATCTGTAAGTAGCGTAATACAGAATTTATAATACCACTTATGATTTATCATCACCTAGATCCTAACTTCACTTATAATTTCTAATCACCTCGACCCACTGCAGATCATGTCAGATCTTAATACTTGGTTTGCTGTATAAATGTAACAGTCATAATCTAGACTCAAAACTCATAGAAAAGAATAGAAGTCTCTCAGTCTGTGGAGGAAGCAGATGACAGTGGAGGCATCCCTGGCCATTAGGAGGTCCCAGGTGCCACTGTCCCACAGCAGCTCTGGTCCAGGTTCCCCAATGAGGACTTGTAACTGGTTGATTTTATGGACAGTGCTCTGGGTGCTGTTACGCTTCCCTGTTCTGTGATGGGGCTGCCACCACCACCGGGTTGGCCGGGTGCCTGGCACCCTCGAGGCTGGCAAGGAAGGAGTAAGCGGCCTGGCCCCCAGGAACCTTGAGGCCAGCAGGGAGGGGAAGAAGAAATCCGTTTGGTTTGGCTGCTGGGTGCACAGGGCCGTCACGGCCTGATAACAAGGGAAAAGGAGCAAATGTGTGACCCCCTCGCTCACAGAGAATGGCTGCTTGCCTTAGAAAATGGCATTGGTTATGCTAATCACATTACCACGGAGGTTGGGAGCAGGGGATACCAGTCACAAATGCTGAAGTGGACTGAACATGCCAAAGCTAGTGTAAAGCATGTTCGATGTTTTGTGGCATTTCCTGAAAAGTTGTGAGGAGGAGAGATATGAGCTCCCAGCTAAAAGTGTGGTATCTTTCTCCCTCCCCTGCTGCCTCAAAGCCCTGAGTGCCCAGCTTCTCTAGTCCTTTCTCCCCTTCCCTCCCCGCACCTCATTTGAAAACCTACCCACAGCCTAAACTTCCTACTGGAACCACCAAGAATGGTTGTGGACAGGTGTAGACCTCCATCTGAGCCTTTAAAGCCTTCATTTTCTTCCCAGTGATTTGGTTTTTTACCCCAGGTAAGCAACCTGGTTTGTTGTGCTGTTTGTACTTCACTGTATCTGGATAGTGGTACCTGTTCGTTGGCTGTGACAAGATGAGTTGCTAGGATCTGCTCAAAGTCTGCACTGTTTAGTTTGGCTGCAGTGTCTTGAATTTCCTTTCCCTTAGCCAGCTTCCATTAGCAGCTCTGATGGAAACTAGGAAACAAAGGTTTAGCTGGTAACAGGAATAAGAGGGCAAAAGCCTGCATGGGAGAAGAGAAGGAGGCAGCAGAAGGAGGCAGTCTGGCCCCACCGTGGACAGGAGAGGTTCTGCCACTCCTGGTTCTGGTAATGTAATTACATGTCCAAGGTTTGTGAGGCAAAGCCTAATATGGAGGACATTGACCCCAGGCAATGAGGTGGAAACTGAGAAACATTAAGAACCAGTTCAAGCAAACTGCTAAGATTGAACTGAAAATATCTTTGAAAAACACTTCACTGAAATTATTAGTCAAGAAATACATCAAAAGAAATACAATTTTTGATCATGTCTTTGTTAAAGAGGTAAAGAACATTGGGATGCTGAGAAACACGAATAGGTGACCAGCCTATTAGGGAGAACTATTGCGCTTTCTAAAATGCTGTGTTGTGAGGAAGTGGAAATCTTTTTGCACCTGCAGCTGGGACCTTCAGCCTGCCTGTGAGTCCGGTGCCAGCCTTCCCTCTTTTAGTCTTTAGTCACTCATACAAAATTTCATTATTGCAAATGTAGCATTCAGGTAAATTGTCCTGCTGTCTTCAGGAAAATAGGTTTAACCCCAAGCCTGATTTTTATACCCTGTGGTTACCTAAACCAGTGTGATTTTGTTCTGTGGTCAATTATAGATGGGGAGGAAAAGTTTGTTCCTTTTACTACCTCTCATCTGTAACCATTTCCTTTGATTTTTTTCCCCTTATTTCTTTCTTTGGCCTGATTATAAACCCTAAAATTGATAAAGCCCTGACCTACAAAGCATTATGGTTATACAAATAGCCTAAAATTGGCTTGGAAAGCAGACAGATCAGAACAGGCCCTTATGGCTGAGGGGAATGTAGAAGCAGCAGAAATTATAAAGATTTAGTGTTAATAAATCAGCAGCTGGGAAACTCCATAGTTTGCAATGAATAGGCATAAAATAAGTCACCAGAGAATCACTCTGAAGTTGTCCTTCCCAGATCTGACAGGGGACAGAGATGCTGTATCCTACACTACAGGCCACAATTCTCACTCATCTTCTCACCTCCATCCTTGAGCCATCCAACTCCAACACTGTGCACAGCACGTGAAACTAACAAGACTCTGATCTGGAAATGGGTTGGATTCAAGCCTGACAGAGGTAGTGTAGCGAGCTGCCTGCTCAGGTAGTGAATTGGTTGTGGATTGCCTGCAGCACCTGAAATAACAAGGTGGGAGGAAGGCACATGAGCTGCTGGGTGAAGCTGGAGGTTTGGCAACTGGAGCCAGGTCATGCATGCAACTCATTGTAAAACTGTCCAAAACCCCAAATTCATAGAATCATAGAATCGTCAAGGCTGGAAAAGACCCTTAAGCCCATCGAGTCCAACCATCAACCTATCACTGCCAAGTCCATCTATACCATGTCTTCAAGCACCATATCTATCCGTTCTTTAAATACCTCCAGGGATGGAGGCTCAACCACTTCCCTGGGCA